CTAAATACTTTTGAAAAGAATCTATTATTAAAAGAGATCTTGGATTTCTAAGCATATTTCTGGTTGTCCAGATTTTTTCACCCCCACAGCATCATTTCTTTATTTATATATCCTTTTGCATTATATTGAATTTCTATATCTAAGGAAAATTCTCACATGGTCTATTTTTTAATTTAAAGATACATAATAGAGGCAATTTTGTACCATTTGCCATATATGAGAGTACAACAGTAAAACTTGTTTTTTCATAACCATCTGTTTGAATACTAACTTTACACATACCAGTATGATCAAGAGTAGTACTATATGGAAGTTCAAAATACACAGGAACTTTATTCATATTACCAATAAACTGTAATTTATAATCGTATTGAATTCGATGATATAATATGAAACTTAAAAAATTTTTGTTGTTTTTCATTTAACTCCTCTGGCAAATACTGAGTTAAATTAGTATGGCGATGATTAAAAAGGTGTTTTCTATTCATAAAACCATTAAGCCATTTATTAGAAAATTGAAAATCTTGAATTTGTGGATATAAATCCCGATATTGCTGATTTTTAGCTAAAGATTTAGCTTTTATTGTTACGTTTCTCCTAGTAACAGCTTGGACATTTTTTTGCAAACTCATAATCCAGTTATACAATTCATATTCTAAACATGGTAAATATGATCCTCTGCCCACATGAAGTTTTTAAATAAATGAAGCAACTGATTGTAATTGCAATTTTTGACTTTTCCATTTACGGACTTGTTTTGGTTGAATGTCAAACCTTCTTGCATTCTGCGGATATTTTGTGATTTTTCAGCATAGTAAACAATAAGTAACTTTTCTCGGACAGTCCAAAAATGGCGTACCTTTGCAGTAACAGTGCTCTTTTAAAGCTTTTGCTATCTTTAGGCATTATTAATTGTTACAATGCTAAAAGCGTGGAAAAGCATGATTGACTGGATCAATTTTTTATAAAAAAAAACTTATCATCGGAGTTTCAGTTTGATTACTAATATTCAAATATTACTGCGGCACTCATATAGTGCAACCTGGTATTTTAGTCCACGCTGTACGGTAATTTTATAGCAGATGCATCGATCATTTGATCTATGTACGTACGTACATACGTTGTGACAGTGAAAAATGGTATAACTACTAAAAATCTAACACAAGTACTACTAAATTTACTAATATCTTTCCTCTACACCCTATGTGGTAGGCTTTGATTGAGGTGTGGATTGATTTGGTCTGAGAATAGGGTCAATTTGAGCTCTAGACTACGTCACAAATTTCTTTATACAGAATCACGGGATTTGGTCACTATTTCTAATTGTTATTACAGATTTTAAGTATCGGGGGGGAATCACAAGTTAAATACTCTGATTTCTTTAATTTGGAACTTCCAACTCAAGGGAGTTATCCTTTATTTACAGCGAAAT